CACCGCTGCAAGCAGTTGTAGCCAGAAACGACTCAGAAATAGGAATATAATCCAAGTTTTTTAACGGGACACATTTTGAAGCTTTTCCGGACAAAAAGGCACGCAAATAAGAAAAAAAGTGTTTGGCGCAGCGCTTTGATGCCTTCTTGCTTGTAAAAGGGGTGCATTCTCAAAAAACATTTTTGCTAACCTGTACGTAGCGCGAGCGAAGGGAAAAGAAATCTTCCACTTAATACTACTTGAAGGAACTTGGCTGGAGATTTATAGCACCGGATCGAAGGATCGGGCATAGCTGCATCCCACTTACTGAGGTAAAATTGCTAACTTGAACTACCTAAATCTCTAAAAAATTTAAATATGTAAACTGCCATACATTTCCTTTTCACTTTCACTGTCGCCGTCCACTGCCTCAACCGAATCGAGTTTCGAAAGTTCTTCTTCAGTTGACGTATTCGGCTTCCGGCGTGCTGACTAAGAATTAACACAGCGTTGCAATATCATGCTAACAAGTAAGCACAAATGTTGAAAAGAGTAAGACCCCGTTTCTTTGCAACACAGTAGTCAAGGCCCTCATTTCGCCCTCCCCAGGAAAAGTAAAATTTGGAGGAAGCAATTGAACTTTAGTCTGATGCCTCGTCCTCCCAAAAGGAAAAGGATTTCAGGCACTAAGAAAGACAGAATTCAGCGTACAATAAAAGTAAATTCAACAAATAAAGCCCGCTGTGCTTAGGACTAGATCAATTTTTTGACCATCCTACGATAAAAATCACATATTGTTTAAAATTTAAAAATTCTACAAAAAAGCAGCACGAGTGCGTCTTTGTGAGTGGGCAGTGGGAAAAAGCACTGTTAGCAGATTCAAGGGCTCCGCCATTAAGAGAGCTAGCTCCTTTACGATTCGTTCTTTCGCTTCGATAGTAAATTGGTACTAGCACTTGCCAGGGAAACAAACTCGCCATTGTCTTTCTGCAGAGCATTGTTCAGAAGTTAAGAGTCTTGCGAACGGGTGGTTGCTGTTGGCACTTGCCACCACCTGGCTTACTCCTGCCTCCCATGAGAAGTGAGTATGGAGGAGGTTTTGACTTTTGACTTAACAAAAAGTCTGAAATGGAAGTTTTTCTCCAAACACCTTCTCGAACACTTTCAGCTGTTTTGCTTGCAGTTCCACTTGTCGCAGTAAGTTGGCGCGTTGATCGCATTCAAAATGCAAATCGTGCATTAAACGCTTGATCTCATCTCGAACGCTTTTCGACTGCGACTGATACCTCGAAAAAACATTATTTCAAAATATTTCCGACCCAGATCCTTTGGAAGTTTGAAAAGTGCGAAGCGACGGACAGGGGAAGGGAATGGGAACAAGGAAAGGGGGCGAAGTGGAGGAAAAGGAGAGCACTACAGGGTGCGTTCTTTTGTCGAAAGCTAAGTTAGCTAATGTAGTTGTTGGGATTTGTATCGTTTAACCTAAGTCTGCAGGTATTACTCAGACTGATCCTCATTTGAATCCAAAATCACTGAGTTCTCGCCCTGTTAGGTTAGGATTTCGAGTAAGTAGCCTGGCGATCAAAAGTCAAAATGCTCGTCGTCTACGAGAGGGGAATGCGCATGCCGAGGGCAGTAGGTGGCAACAGCAACCACCAGCTGGCAAGACTGTTGATGGCTAACTGTTGGTAAAGGAAAGCCATATAATCTATCGGGGGA